CGAAACGGTACCGTCTGTAGTTAGATATTGCTCTATGGCCTTTGTGTCATATTGAGCACTCTACAGGATGAGCCATTGCTGCTTACGCATTGTATATATATATATATATATATATATATATATATATATATACATATATATATATATATATATATATATATATATATATATATATATATATATATATATATATATATATATATATATATATATATATAGTTAGACATCGCTCTATGGCCTTTAGGTCATATTGAGCGCTCTACAGGATGAGCCGTGCCGCTTATGCATTGCGCACGCTCACTGCTTGCAGTTTGAGCGCTCTGGCATGGTTTTGATCAGGGCGCTTATATAGAGGGCGGTGAAACGGCTATATAGGCGCGCCGATCGATGTGTGATGCAATGAACTGGTAACGAGTTTGTTGTGGTTACTATGGCGACGTTGTCTTATATGGCAAGGATAAATATGGCGGGAAAACTGAGCTGGAAGTTTTGACTGTTTTGTAGTCAAGTTTTGATGAAGAAATAGATATTGGGGGTAAAATTCCGATGTTATACGATAATTTAGTAGATTCTGCTGTTGTATTTTCAGGTAATACTGCCAATATTTTAGAGTTTTTGCTCAAAACGCTTGCGAAAGCTTACGAACGGTTGCTTTCGCAAGAAGCATGACGTGAAAGGTTTTTAAAACTCTTCGGATGTACACGTATCGTTCACGTTCGATAGAATACAATTCACAATTAATTTTAGCCACTAGTTGATCTTTTCAGTTGAAAATCAAGAAATGCTCAACTTGAATTTGTATTTTTTTAACGAATCCTTACGAGAAGTTGTCTTGGCCAGCCGGTCAAAAAAAAATCAAAGTTGGGACGAAACTTTTTCGACTATTGCGCTCAACAAACGTCCGAGCGAGTCGTATTTTGATTCAAAGGCCAAGAAGTAAAATATGTTTACGGCTCAGAATTACTTCAATTGAATGCCTTAAAAGTCGTACAAAATTATTAACATAATAACCAAAAATCACGACATGGCCAAAATACAATTGTTGTTTATTTTTTTGCAGCGAAATAATGGTCTAATTAGGCAAAATTTAACACACAAAAATACCTCACTTTCCAACGCTGTGCATTCAATTGCTCAACTCCGAGTCTTATGAAAACTTTTGGAGATAAGCACATAATTATAATCTTTACCATCAACTGAATTTCGAAGTTTGGACGACTTGATAACATGCCCAAATGCTGTTTTGAAAATTTCCCTTCATTGAAGTCATCAAAAGCCCGACTCATTATCCTCAATATTTCTTTCAAAATTCAACTATACAGGCTAAACAAGCATTCGTACGATACACTAGTTACTACTTCGTCGTTACAGTGCAAAAACATCCTCAAGAATTTCGTAGTTAATGAAAAAACAGCAAAAATACAACAGCAGGAAAAATCACGCTCCTTGTCAACTTTTGCCGAAAAGCACGCTCGTGCCAGTCCTTTTCCGCATCACACATCGATCAGCACGACATCAGCGCGTTTCACCGCCCTCTATATAAGCGCCCTGGTTTTGATGTCTCACATTCGTGAGGCAACAGCAATTACTTTCATCCTGCTCATCAGCACTACACTGATGAGGCCCATAAGGCCGAAACGGTACCGTCTGTAGTTATATATATATATATATATATATATATATATATATATATATATATATATATATATATATATATATATATATATATATATATATATATATATATATATATATATGTTCAAGTTTTCTTGATATAATATAGAGTGCTCAATACTTTATTGTAGAGCTAAATTTATTTAATTATTTATGAAATAAAGTACAAAACAAACGTTGTTACTCAGAGTTTCATGCCTGAGTTTACAGACAATCTTCGGACAACTAAACTAAACTAAACAAAACAGAACTTTAACAGAACGTTAACAGAACTTTAGTTGTCCGAAGATTGTCTGTAAACTCAGGCATGAAACTCTGAGTAACAACGTTTGTTTTGTACTTTATTTCATAAATAATTAAATATATATATATATATATATATATATATATATATATATATATATATATATATATATATATATATATATATATATATATATATATATATATTGATATACGACGACCACGAGTCCCCTTCGGCACGATACAGGCCGACACGATCTTTCCCAAACGTTGTCGATAGTTCATTTAAGATGAATAAACCAACAAGTTCACAAACTTCCGGACTCGTGGTCGTCTAGCTGACCAGACAAGAAAGAAATTGCACCATTTATTTGAGCAATTTGATTTAAAGATCACGGCAGAAGTCAGTCATCGAACTGTTAATTTTCTAGACATTACGCTCAACTTAGCTGACGGTAGTTACAAACCCTATAGGAAACCGAACAACCAACCACTCTACATCAACAGCCACTCTAACCACCCACCCCCAATTATCAGACAACTACCTGTGTCAATTAATAAAAGAATCTCCCGACTCTCTTCCGACAAACAAGCATTCGACTCATCGGCGCCTCTATACGAACAAGTCCTCCATCACAGCAACTACCAAAGCAAGTTACACTATCAAAATCATAACGCCCGTAACACACCAAAAAGAACCCGAAAAAGGAATATCACCTGGTTCAATCCGCCCTACAGTAAAAACGTGAGATCCAACACTGGTAAAGATTTTCTACACCTCGTAGATATTCACTTCCTTAAGTCATCTGCCCTCAACAAAATTTTCAACAGGAATACC